GCCTGCCTTTTTTTCATCAGTTCCGCATTTTGCATTGTTTTCAGCAGATGTAATCTCTCTTTCTTTGTCTTCACTGTTGCCTTCCTCTTCCTCTTCGCCCTCCTCGGATCTGTCCGTGTTGTCGTCGGTTCTATCTCCCTCCGGATTGCTCTCCTTTGCATCGACATCATGGTCAGCGTCACTGTCGTCACCTTCTCCTCGTTTTTGCATTCTTTCATATTCTACTTTTTCTGACATTTCTTCGTCGTAGCGTTGGTTCGTAAATCGTATGACCCTCCGAGGTTGATTGCTTCAGGAATCCTGAGTCTTCTTCTTCACCTTCCTCCTAAGCGGTGGTTCGAAAATCGTGTGACCCTCTGAGGTCGATTGCTTTAGGAGTCCTGACGTGTCCACAGTCTCGGGAGTCAACACCCCTGCTTTGTCTGCCTCGTTGAGGTATTCATACCACAAAAATGTGCGCAACGCCTTCTATTCCTGTCAGTCGCTCTATTGAAAGGAATCCATGACGATCGCAACAGGTCGTTTCTGGCCATCATTGTCCTCCGTGACTGCCAAAAAACGACCGACATTTAGTAACAAGAGTAATTTCTGATGGTTTTTGTGATTCACAGGGATGAGAACAATAGTTGTCTTTCGCAGTTCATTGCTTATTCGACGCAGCTTTGCAGGTTTACTCTTGATGCGCTCCTATCATCCTGCTTTCGCGACATAAACCTTCTGATTGGCGATGACTACGGGATGTCAGAAAGTTATGCAAACATGAAGTGTCGTGTTGTCCTGTGCAGGGAAATGTTTTTCATAGACGGACTGTAAGTACATATCGATTACGGCGTCGTTCAGCCACTGCTTCGCACCCAATCGCAATAAGTCCCGTTTCGTTATCACTATGGCATGTCTTCTTGATTTCCACATGAACGGAAATAAGTGTTCCTCGTCCACCCTCTCGGGCCTCTTTCCAGCCTCTGCAGCCATACCTCTCGACCAATTGCCCCTTGCAATACTGAACAAAGGTTTATGCACCATCTTGCGATATTGGACGTCATCTGTGGTCATCATCTGGTACATTTCCTCATACCAAGGGTCCTCCAGTATCCTCTTCCATCGCTTCACTGATCTCTCACTGCTCAATGGGAGCAACACTTCGGTGACACTTGGTTCACATGACTGTTCGTCATTCCTTGCTGTTTCTGAACTGTTCGTCGCTTTTGAGTCCATGATACAACCCTTGCCATCTACCCCCTTGTTGATTTTGTAAGATTCGCTCATCTGAACACCCCTCATTCTCCGTCATACAATAGATGTCACGGCTGATGGACAAAGGTTGCAGTGTCAGTCTAAATCAGCTTCTCCACAATTCCTGAAAACGCTTTTGTTTTCGCTTGCTGTCTTGCCACTTCTTCCAGTGCAGAGTGTCATTTTGGCGTTACCTCGACCTCAACATTTCCTGTCCACATGGCAGTCACATGGCCATGAAGCACATCTTGTCAATTACTCGGCTTTAGTGGTAAGTTTTTCGACAATATGTGTGTGTGTGTGTGTGAGAGAGAGAGAGAGTACTCCGAGGCAGAATGACGGTATCCTGTGACGTCATGACCTTTTATCGCACGCAAATATAGACATAGGTTGGCTAGTGCGTGCCACCTGCCACTTCTTAAGTCCACGTTCACCATACATGTGCACGCAGTAGTCAACTCTGAAGTTACCTTCGTCATACACACTGCTTTGATGCACCTTTCTCTACATTGTTGTGTAAGATGACATAGAAGCTATGTAACGGTGTAACACAACCTTGTCGGTGCGAAAAAAACAGTCGCACAACCGTGTTGTTCCATCTTGCAAATCGTGCCGGTTTGAAATACAGTCTCGCCGCTTGAAAAATCTACCGATGTTTGAATTTCATCTTTACAAAGTGACTATTGTCGTTCGAACGCCTCTCTCTCTCTCTCTCTCTCTCTCTCTCTCTCTCTCTCTCTCTCTCTCTCTCTCTCTCTCTCTCTCTCTCTCTCTCTCTTTGTGTAAAAAAAATACAAAAGTTGAACGYATGCTGTAGTATAAAATTGCGACTGCGCCCACCACAATTTTTTCTCGGAAAAACGTTCAGCCTTTAAAATTTTGGTTTTTTTTTGTGTAATTCCCTATACACTTCTAGAGTACATATCTATTCAACAAAAAATTGTCCTCCCTCTCTTTTGCATGCTTCTTCGAGCCCCATTGTGGTTTAAAAAAAACGAGGAACAATGTGAACGGTCTCGATGATGGTGTCAATCGTTATGACGCTACTGTGTTGATGACCGTTTACCTTCTCCCATTGGAACTTCTTACAACCTATTGTGTGTTTCCTTTCGCTATCCACCTCTTTGTACCATCGCACAAAACAACACCTGTGCATATCCGCAACACCCCATGTGCAAGTGTTCATGACGAAAAACATGGCTACTGACGCATACCATATGTTGTCATTCTCACCTCTCACTGCAACATCGCTGTGCACGGCTCTCCCGTGGAACTGTGGTGAAGCTCTTGCCGTTTCAACGTCTGCGCCCCTGTGCGTCCCGTCGTATGTGCAGGCGATAGTCAAGTGTGTTCGAGTGTGTATGACTTGGTCATCAGATGGAGGTTGACAGCCGTTCTCTGTCATGAACGTTGTGAGTGTAGCTCGAAAATCCTCCTTGAAGGGAAGCTCATTAAGTATTCTCAACGCCGCGTTGCTTATACCCTCCACCTTCGGCAAATATACACCGTCCATCTGGAACCGCAGGTGTTGTAGAGTTGTTGTGTCGCGCGCTGCGAGGGTATTAATTTCGGTGGCCATGCAGTCTGTCACGGATGACCAATTTTTTGCCGACCTCTTTCTTCATTTTCTCACAATCTCCGTCTCATCCTGCAAAGCCAATGAGCGTCGGACATGATTCACCATTTGGGAAGCAGCCTTGCGCTTGTTCGATGTCAGATATGGTTGTTTGCAGAACCTCCGATGATGATGCTCCCACACATCAGCTGCGAAGGTGTCGGGGACACCGGATCGCTCTATGCATGTTCTCATATGCATAAGGTCGTGCAACTTCAGAATTTTCCAATCTGAGGTTTGATATTTTTCCATCTTCGTTTTTATACTTCTTATGAAATCACATATCAATGTGCCACATACATCGAGAGAAGTCGCAATGTGGTTCGACTTACGAAACACGTGTATGTACATTTCCATGAGTTTGATGAAACAAGCAGAAATGGATTTGCCTATTGCACGCGGGATGATATCACAAATAATAAACACGCAAACTGTCATAACAGACCGATTTTGCTTCGCTTCAAATCGTTCTTCCCTTGAGAAGAAATCACAACCTGTGGCCATAGGCAACACGAGTTGCGGGTATGTTCTCACACATCTCTCACTGATGTTATGCAACCTCGCATCCATCTTGTGCAATATCTCGGTTTGCGCGATATCCGGCAACTTCTTATAAGTTGCTGCCTTGAATGCATCTATCATATGCAAGAAAATGTCGTGTTCAATGGTGTGCATACAGTCCGGTTGCAAAGCGAGATGGTAATCTAGTTGAGGATCATCACCATGCGGACCCCTGTAGAATCCCCAAAGACCGTTCTCTTGAACATGCTTATGCGTATTCAATTCTGACATCCGTGCCTCTGCGGCACGGCGAATATCGTTGTCCCCATTGTCGAAGCAGTTCGCAGCAAGTTGCGTCTCTAGCGTCTGCGATCTCCTGCAGTTGGTGAAATCTGCAATGACATCGAAATCGTCTCTGGACACTGTGCATGTTGGACAAACACCGAATTTCACAGTTGCAAGGGCACACCTTTCAGGATAGTCCTGTATATAGTTCATGACGAAAGGGTGGACTGTTATCTCGCCGAACCGCTCCATTGTAACTATCATGCCGTGGGATGCCTCCTTTGCGGACCGCAATACTATTGACAACGCTTTATGCAATATAACAGCTTTCCGTTTTCTAAACGCGGTGGAGTGCAGACCCCAGTCCTTGTCACGTGGCCGGTGTTGAAGCACAGGAAGATACGCAAGGAGTGTGGCGTCCGATGCGCGATCGGCTATTGACATCATCAGAGGATACGCTGWCTGYTTTTGACGACCGTCTACATGAGTCTTGTCTGAATACAGAGACAGAGGGATAACATAACGTGTTTTACCATTCGTGTCCACACCCTTGTCCGCTCTGGTAACAGTTTGAACATGGTGACTCAACTGGCCCGTGCGAGATCCACATATGTTGATCCCCTCCCCGGGAGGTTGTATTTCGAGGCAAGAAACCGTTCCAACGTTGTGCAGTGCAGCTCATACGAGGTCAGCAAACGTTGTGCGCCAGTCGCGGTACTACAAAAAACTTTGTGCACTTCTTCTAGCCAATCATCACTGCGTAGATTGTTCTCTTGCCACCCTGCATCCTCTGCCTGGCGGCTTGCCCATGTCAGACACTCACGATTGTTACGAAATGCGATATTTCTTGGGTCGAATCTAGGATTCTTGAGGAGTGACAACAGATAGTCAACGTCAGTTTGGGACATGCCCACACCGCCCCAACATGAGAAAATCAATGCCGCAAGTTTGTGGGAGTTATCGAATGCCTCTGTGTGTTGTTCTTGTTGTTCTTCGGATGCGCAGTCTGCTTCTACATCGGGAGGGGGCTCAACCTCCTCGCTTTCCCCACTGACCAGATTCATGGGACCACTATTTGACGGTCCACCGATAACCTCCCCAACTATCTCTTGTGTCGTGCTCCTCTCTTCCACAAACAAGCATTCCACATCATCAACATGAAAGCCAAATTTTAAAAGTCATGACCTCCAACCAAAAGCAGAATTGCAACTCGAATCACCCCTGATGAGAGTACAACAACGCGTTATCTGCCATCGTTTGTCGTCCCTTAGGCTCTCGTTAATTTTCACCTCTGATGCAAAAAAAGACAAAGTTAAGCTCTCGTTATCTGTCATCGTTTGTCGTCCCTTGGGGCCCCCACATTTATACCTGGGGTCAAAAGGGCTCATTGCAGGCTGTAGCCTCGCAGAGAGAGAGAGAGAGAGAGAGAGAGAGAGAGAGAGAGAGAGAGAGAGAGAGAGAGAGAGAGAGAGAGAGAGAGAGAGAGA